GAGCAGGAAGTGGGGAAAGACAGAACTATGTACCAGAGGACATAAAGGCCACAATACACGTAGTAATGGCTGTTTAATCAGAAGGTAATGTAGAACTACGGACTCCCATTGCAAAAATATGTTCAGTAGCAGCACCAAAACCTGTTGATGCTGCCAGTGAAATCCATCTAATGCAGCTTCTTGTGATGGTGTGGCAACAATGCTGCACTGCTCCTGAATTCAGAGGAGAGTTGCCACTCTCACACAAGCTGTGCCTCCTTGCACTACAGTGAGATTTAAAAATATTGCAGGGGGTGTGGCTATTTTTGTAGGGCGTGGTAGGGTGTGCTTTTTTCGATTTTTGTTTGTGAGGGGGCCCTGACACCTGCTTGGGGTTATTGCTTGCCCTGAAACATACTGGGAGTTTTTGCTGGCCTTGACACATGCTGGCGGTTATCATTGCTGGCCCGTTCAAATGCTGGGGTTATTATTGCTGCTACTGACACCAAAAATGGGGCTTATTTTACTCCCACAATATCTTCAGTGTACCCTTGAGCCCAATTTTGTGTAAACCATAGCAAAGCAAAGGGGGAAGGTAGCACACTACAAGCCATGCTCTGTGACCATACCCACAGAAAGGGAAGTTTTTACTTAAAGGAGAACTACGAGGTGAGTGATTTTCACTCAACCTCATACTTCGAGCCAACATGTGACAATGAAACTGTCACACGCCGGCTCAATAGATCGGGAAGTGAGCGAACACATACCGTCGCTCGCTCACTTCTCGATCATGTCCCTGCAGATAGCCGTGACTGTCACTCACAGCTCCCTGCAGGGATTCCCCCCCCTCTCCGATCCTCCAACGCTGACTGGCGGAATGGACAGTGGAGGGGGCGGGTACAGCTGGCTCTGCCTCTAGATAGGCAGAGCCAGCTGTCAATCACGCAGCTGGGTGGATCTCGACAGTAATGTCGGGATCCGTCTAGGCTGCGGCGGTCTCAGTATACCACGTACTGTAACTCGCGATATACTGAGATTTGGGTCACGGGAGGACGCTAGTTTATGTCCTTCTGTGACCCTTAGGAGAACTATGGGGAAAAGCACTGACCCCATATTTCTCCTTTTAAAGTGACATCAAAGTCTACATTTTTTTCCCTCCCCCCCCCATGTTAATGTCAGCACTTACCTTAAATGATGTCTCTTAATCCGATCTTCCTCTTCTTTCCTGATGTTTTCATCTGTCCCTCCAGCGGTGCGGCGGCTGTCCGATCCAGCGCTGACTCCTCTGTCCCTGCAGGCACTTCCGATCCAGCGGTGTCTGCATGCGTGTGCACGCGTCGATAGACTTACCTTGCGGCTCTGCTCGTCTCCTGGCCGAAAATTCGAAACTGCGCATACGCCCGCCCCAAGATGCTTTGCAGCCGCTCGATCAGTTTCAGATAGGCAGAGCCAGCTGTCAATCACGCAGCTGGGTGGATCTGGACAGTAATGTCGGGATCCGTCCAGGCTGCGGCGCTCTCAGTATACCGCGTACTGTAGCTCGCGATATACTGAGATTTGGGTCACGGGAGGAGTTCTCCTTTAACTCCACTTAACTTTTACTAAATGCATACCTGGGTTTAAATAAAGGTATAATATACAGTATCTGCCCAAACTTAATTTAAAGGAGAACTATGGGGTCAGGGTTTTTCCCCATAGTTCTCCTTAGGGTAACGGGAGGACACAAACTAGCGTCCTCCCGTTACCCTAAGCTCAGTATACCGCGAGCTACAGCTCGTGGGATGCTGAGACGCCGCAGCCGGAGCGGGTCCCGACATCGTCAGAGAGCCGTGACAGGATCGAGAGGTGAGCGAACGCCGGTATCTGTTCGCTCACCTCCCGATCTACTAAGCCGACCTGTGACAGTCTCATTGTCACAGGTCGGCTAGAACTATGAGGTGAGTGGAAATCACTCATCTCATAGTTCTCCTTTAATAAGGTTGTCAGTAATTATGGTAACGTCATCATCTTTTTTTCATGCAGGTGTGGGCCAATTAAAAAAAAGGTGCTGTGTGTGGCCATTCTCAAAAATAGGAGCTGTGCATTGGCCTTATTCTCAACATGTAATGGCTGTCAATGATGGGCATAGGTAGAAAAACACCATGATTGCCACTGACTCACAGTAAACTTCAAACAGGACAAATTATTTTTTGGTTTAGGAAGTCTGTATTGTACTAATTTAGCAAACTTACACAATGTTCTTGGAACAATTGACATAAAAGAACTACTTAGAGCAATTTTACTGTACAGTTGTTAGTTTTTATTAAAATGGTTTCAATCTCCCTTTAAAAAAATGGTGATAGAGTTATCAGGATACAATACAAGCTGTTTGGATGCAGCTTGTGGTGTCGGCTCTTAAGCAGAATTTTAACTTATGTTTAATGGAATTCAGGTTGCATAGAAAAAAAAGGATTAAAGGGGAAATAGAAAGGTAGAAGAAGAACGGGTTGAATACAATGCTAGAGCTTTAATTAAATGCTAAAATGAGCTATATAAGTTGCTAGAAAGGATAGACTTAAAAGGAAACTATAGTTTTATTACAGTTTCTGTGTGTGTGTGTGTGTGTGTGTGTGTGTGTGTAATAAATGTAAATGTGATACATTGCTGTTAATGTTTTATAAAGCTTTATTTTAGTACAGTATATTGTTATTATATATGTACAGTATGTAGATATGCATACCGTACTTGTTTATTACATACACAGTATGTGTTTCCTGCTTATTAGTAATGCACAATGACCAATCTCTCCTGCTTCTCTCTCTCAGTACAAATCTACTGGTCAGGTTTGACCTGGCAGAGGCCAAACCCTGTATAAAGCTAACTAAGCTCCTCTCAGCTGTCATTAAGCAGGGGTGCCAATTACATTCCCTGATATACAAAGATATGACCACTACAGGCATAATTTACAAATCAGTATATGAAGTATAAAAATAAAAATATGACAGCAAGCATGAAAAAATAGAGCCATGACAAAAAAACTACATCCAGGTAAATGTTACGATATTAATTCTGGACATATGCCTACTGAAAACACTATAGTTTCCCTTAAACAAAGCAAAACTAAAGATAAAAGAAGGAACACTATTCACCTATATTTAAAATATTATAATTGAACCCTGGAAAACGAGGGGATAATTGTTCAGCCCAACTTGTGCTTTGTTTTTCAAACGTTCCACCATCCTGAAACACAGATCAATGTTTAAATGTCTACAGGGAAATGACAAGATACAAATCTGTTTTTTTTTATCTTAGGCAGAGGTATGGCCCCAGAAAAGCCATACCTCTGCTTTATACACGGGGCCAGAAGTGTAACTGCATATAAAACAGTACAGATAAAGTAAGCTTACACAGTAAGGGCTCATGCACATTGGCGCAAATACAGGCATATTGGCATACAGTGTAGAATATACCTGTATGCAGGGGCGTATCTGACGCGAGGCAACACAGAAAAAAAGTTTCCAGGCACACTCACCAGCCAGCATGCAAAAAAACCTGTCTAACCACTAAGGTTAAAAGCAGAGGTTTGGATACACGTCTTCTGCAGAAAATGTGAAAGCCGCACAGCCACGTCAAGCCACCTCCATATAGTGAGGTCCTAACTCTAAACTATGAGAGTCTCCATCTAGGAGCACATGGGGGCAGAAGATAAAATTGGGTGCAGGTTTGTCAGGAGGAAAGCCCAACCTCCCTTAAAGGCACAGGTATGCACAAGGGACCGCGCACATCACAACGGCAGCTGAGACCCCCCATGCGTCACTGCACCAAATCAGTCAACAAAACAAATGACAAACACACTCATCAATTCGTTACCAGCTTTACAGCAAGGTGCACACGGAAGGGCTTCAAACAGTAAAACAGAAAAAAGTTTCCAGGCACACTCACCAGCCAGCATGCAAAAAAACCTGTCTAACCACTAAGGTTAAAAGCAGAGGTTACAGTACAGATGAAGTAAGCTTACACAGTAAGGGCTCATGCACATTGGCGCAAATACAGGCATATTGGAATAGGGTGTATTTGCCTCGAGCGGCAGATTCCAGGGGGGTGGCAAAATTGCCGCCCCCCAAAACATTTAGGCAGACGGGCCGCACAGAAACCGGCAGCCTGCCTGCCTAATTAGAACGGGGAAGAATCGGCGAACGGGGGATCAGGAGGAGATGGGGGATGTAGCGGCTGCAGGCAGGGGGGCGGTGACAGAGGAGATGGGGTGGATATGAAAGAGGCGGGGTGACGACGGAGGGGGCGGGGGGCCGAAGACTGCAACGGAGGAGGCGGGAGGCTCTGAGCATGCTGACATCATGGCTGGGGTCCAAGTCAGTAGATCCTGGAAGTGTCAGATAGCTGTTACAATTTCAGCTCTGATAGCAAGATTTAGGCTACATTCATACCTACAATGTAGGTGCGAGTAGGGATTCCTGCATTAGGAACTTGCTATTTTCTGTGGCAGGAATCCCAAACCTGCTGTTTACAAGCTGCAGCTGGCACCCGTTCAGGTTAATGATTGGGTGACAGCGGTTGCATTTGAAAGCAGCAGAACGCTGGCACACCACATGTAATTGTATGTGATACAATCACATGCGGTTAGGAATCAATCACTATCACTGGACGCATTGATTGTGATACTTCACTGTTCCTGTGAAGTATTTAAGACTCACCAGGTTCCACCAATATCTAAAATAGCATTTGGGTGTGGACTAACCCTTTAACAAACACAGGGATAATCATACAGTTTCATTGCATTTCTTCAAGTACAGTATAATGCTCAGAGGGAGAGCACAAATAATGTTTCCAAGACCTACCATTTTCCAGCAGGCGGGGTTGTATGCGTTAGTGCCACAGACTAAAAGGTATCCATCTAACCGTGCCACAAATGTCACAAAATTCTTGCAGAAAGCCTGCAAAGAAGAGATTTCAACATAGTTACATATTCAATATGTCAGATATTCTCTCACAACGGTGAGCAGTTTTCTCTCTACCCGTGGGAATTTTATCCTCAAAACATATAACATAGAGTGCAATTACTGTGTGCAGTAGCCCATAGAAATCAATTAGAACTCATTTTGCTTGTTTACTGGTTCCCTAGCTGCTCTTTTTACTTAGATACCACTTACTAAACAAAATGAGATAAAAAAAGCAAATTATTCAGACCTTATTTAATAAACCCTTGATGCTGCTAGATTGTCACATGGTCTGCTGGAAGGCAACAAGCTTCTTGTCACAGGATACTGGGCTCTGCCTCTCTCAAGAATATGGGAGGTTAAAGCGGAACTCCAGCCTTACCGTCAGTCTTGCACAGTTGTACAGGTTCCTTTCCTGTACTGGAATTGCTTACTCTGACTTCACTGCACACACTGTGCTCCTCACAGTGTGCATTAGAAGCAGCAGCAAGTCAGAAAATCATCTAACCTTTTTCTTCCCAGCAATTACTGTCCCACCCCTTTCATTTACGGGAGTTCTTTCAATCATGGAGGGTCAGCATCACTTGTAGGTGTCTGTTAGGGCAGCTTGCAAGCAAGTACAGTCTGCCTAGGAATGCCTACTCCTCCAGATTAAGGGTGAGTGGGGATGCGGCACTGGACCTCAACTTTTCTCTAGCAATATTTGGGACTGATGGCTCAGTTCCGGCAGCTCTTTACAAAATGAGGGATCCTTCAGAGGGAGGGGATGCCCAGAATGAGAAATACATGTACATGAAGACTAAAGAATCATCAGGTAATCATCTCAGGAGTCCCAAGAAAACTTAATTGGCTTCACAAATGGCGACAAGATGATATGTACAGCCAACGTGTTTCGGAGGTCAGGACTCTCCCTTCATCAGGGTTTAAACAATGGACAATGGGACACTGATGGACTCTAAACATACAGCCCCTGCACACAAGCTTATGTCTCAGGCAGAATTGGAAATCCTAGGTGTGCAAAGATCTTTACCAGCAGTTCAGCATCTGTACAAGTAAAAACTTGTTCCCATCTTCTTGTCACCATTTGTGAAGCCCATAAAGGGTTTTTTTTTTGGACTCTTGAGACAATTACCTGGTGCTCGTTTTTCATCTTCATTTACATAGGTGGATGTCAGTCTGGAGGAGTAAATCTATCAAGTGTAGCGCTCACCCCCGAAGGAGCCACTGAATGTACTGAATGTACCAGGTATTTCTATCCCCCCACACCAATGTACTGCCCATATGTGGATCCACAGCACACCAACACACCTTTTAAAGAGTTTTATAACAGATTTAATGATCAGCTAAGATATGAGCATAAAATATAGCAATTATAGACCCAACAATCACATAAAATATATTCAGTGACAGGCTAAGACACTCTGACACTCCGTAACCGCAGCTATCTACTGGCTGCACTAAAGCCTATCAGACTAGACTGCCTCAGTGTCTGACCCTCTCTAGACTACTGGCCAGTAGTAATGTCCTAGGCTAGCCAACGTTGGGGCCCATACTGTATTGCAGGTGTGAGAAGTAAAATGTCACAATGGCCAAGGGCCTCTTACCACTCCCAGGGTCAATTAGAAGGGATGATGTCTGTCGGCAGAAGACAAACGTCCCCTTTCTCTCAAGCGGACTCTTGTGAAGAAGTTTAACTCATCAGGGGCCTCTTGCGGAAGGTCTCCACTCGTCCAAGGTACCAGGCAGCTGTCTCTGTCGACTCTGTCTGGCTCCCCTCACTCGGCTGGGCCACTCCTAGGGCTGAATCGTCATGCGACCAGGCCTCAACTGGGTCCTACTCAGGCGCCCGACCGAAGGCCTTCAGGCACAGCAAATTAACACAGTCTCCTTGCACCGCTGCACAGAGCCTGTGTGTCCCTGTATGTCAGCGGCGACCACACAGCTCTGTTGCCCAGAGTCTTAACCCACACAGGGTTACATAGATCTGTCCTCCTCAGTCTGCTCTCCCAGACTGAGTGCGCTCAGCAGCCACAGACCATAGTCCCCCTCCTCTCTCTTTCTCTCTCTCTCTCTCGCACAGCCTCCTGGGAGTTGCAGTTTCAGAGGTGCTTCTTGCAATGTCCCAGTCTCTGCTCTGCACTGCAATCCTCATAAGTCTTTGCCTCCAGGACACACAGAGGCACTTAACTGTTTGCAGACAGCAACATAGATCACTGTAGTAGCACATATATACATATCTATATAGGGGCTACACAAGTATTTTGATATTTGAAGAACTTCTCCCAGCAGCTAATTCAATGCTTGCATCAAGTCCATTGGGCCTTTTTTCTGAGTAGCACAATTGAAATGTTCTCTGGACAAGGTTACCAGTTCATTGACATCAGCTAAATTACTGATTTAAGTTTTTTAATAATACATTACTACAAGAGTGCACGAAAACTAAACTAATGTAGGGCTGCTCGTCCATGTTGTTTAGGAACCACACTTTGTTAATATAGGATTTATTATACTTATGCAAGTCTAAAATCTATCAAAATAAGCAAAACAGTGATCCATGATAGTGAGGTAGCTCTGATAATTATACTAGAGACCTCCTCTTATTTTTAACTGGAGTAAGGAATAGGCACTTTTAGTGATGTCAAAACATAATGTATAACTACACGATGAGCATGTAGCTAAGATTATATTCCTAGTCACTAGATTACAAGACTGCAGGTTAAAAACATCACATTAGTCATATTATCACCTGGCTACATTATCTCTTACCTTTCCTGGACAGTTGTAAGTTTCTGCATTTATCTGTGAAAAGAGGTATCATTAATGTAGACACTGATATTATTTGTATGCGCTCTTTACATATTGCCAAAATATTCTGGTTTGCTTGACAGAAAAGCCAATCACTAACATTTCATATAATATTGAACATGTTAATGTAATTTCAAGACTCATAGTCAATATTTTTTAAAATCTACATTAAAATATTACTTAGTTAATCTTGCCATGAATGTCTGTGTTTATGCACTTCCTGTTATAGAGTGACAACAGGCCTGTCCCTCTATACCAGTTGCTCTCCAGCATCGTCACTCTGTAACAAGTGCTTCCAGGGAAGACTTAGCAATCATGCCAATACTCATTGCTTAGCCATGTACTACTGTTGTCGCCATCCTGCCATGAGCAAAGACCTGCAGCTGCCACCTGAGCGCATGTGCATAGATAGGCAATGGCTGCAAAGAGACTGGGAGAGATCAGGAACACTGTGAACCAAAAAGAAATGAGTATTTTATAAAAGAAAACAACATGACACAGTGCTTCACCAACAAATGTCATCTGGTTAGGGGTTTAGATCTACGTTAACAATTTGAAAAAAAACAACTAAATAATTAAACAAGAATAACATAGTGCAATGGGACCCCAACTGCAAGGGCATATAAACTAAAGCACTGTATTAGTGTACACAAAACTTGTATTTATTTAGTACTGTGCACATCAATGTATTATAATTACAGATGACCCATTGCTTGGTCTGTCTAGATCAGCCCGTCTAGATCCTCCTGGGGTGCCTTCTGACCTCAACATTTTGTGATGCTAGGACTCTGATGTGAAGGGTGGACTGAGGACTCTGATGTGAAGGGGGGACTCTGATGTGAAGGGTGGACTGAGGACTCTGCTGTGAAAGGGGGGGACTCTGCTGTGAAAGGGGGGGACTCTGCTGTGAAAGGGGGGGACTCTG